AATTTCTAAGTAAATAATAACCATTCACTTCAAGTCATAATTCAAACAAGCCACATATCATCAACCATAATCATGCAATCTCAAACATGAATCAAATACTGCACATACATCACGTAAATCAATACTCGAAAATACTCAAGACAAATACTTGAAAATCGTAAGGCGTAGAATTTACCCCCTTTACACTCACCTTACGACCAAATCGATTGACTCGAACTAACCATCACCGCCTTATGCTCCATACACCGCCAACACATAGTTGTGAATCGGCTTCCTTTCTTCACCCATGCCAAGTCAATCCCTCATTTGTCCTGTAGCAGCAGACTAAACCTTCACCATTGATATTACTTGCCCTTTTTTAATTCTTCTTCTCACAACTAATCCCCCACTTTAATCATGACTATGAACACATGTATGCACCTCGTCCATTCCATACCTAAACCCCACCCCCCAATAGCCATTTGACTAAGCATGAACCTCCACCTCTAAACATATTATCCACGGAAAACCCCCACTCCACTTACTACCGCAAATCAAAGCATTACGTCCACCAATTTCCATGTATATATCCTCCCGATTAGTCATTATCATTTTGGCACAGCCCGAGGGAGGTAATTAATAATACCATAATCAACACAACCGTGAAACCCAAATTAACGCTTGAAGAAAGGATCCGGAAACACAAGATGCTTACTCTGAAGGCCCAGCGATCCTCCGCGGCATAGAGAAAGGCCATCGGCCGCAGTTCGGACGGGTTCCTGCTACTCTATCGATCGGGCTCGACCCTAGCGTCCACCACCACCTGCATCCAACTCAAAGGTCTCCGTGTTGGCCTCCTCAGCGACTAAAGGTAGAGAATGACTGCTCGGGGGTCGACTGTTTAGGGGTTTCCTTATTTTCTTTGGATTGTGCGGTGCTAGGGTTGGGGGAAAATTTTGGTAGCCACTACCTACTTAGTGGTATTTAGAGCTCCTAGGGGTGGGCAACGGGACGGGACGGGATACCCGTCCCGTTTGAAACGGGTACCCAGTCCCATTTGGAGACCAAAGTCCTTCCCATATCCCAAACTCATATGGGAAACGGGTACCCATTACCCGTAAGGGACGGATAACGGGTACTCATACTACCCATAAATACCCAAAGTTTAAACCACTAAAATTTTAACAAAATTTTAACATAAATACCCAACTCCATTCCAACAGTTACCAAATTCCTAACCTTCACCAAAAAACTAGTGATAACCCCATTATAATTACCGGTTTAAAATTCAAACCCACACTACTAATCTTCTTCTCTCTACTTCCTCCAATAAGCAAACCGAGCAGTTTCCCTTTCAGTACCCAAACAATTATTATAAACTTTGTTCTGCTGATGGCCGTCGGGTGAGAAGGAAGCCTGCTGCTGCTGGTGCTCCGCTGCTAGAACTGAGAAGTTGACTTCGTCTCTTCTCTCTCGACTCTCACTCCCGAAGACGACTCCTCCGACCTCCCGGAACTGAGAAGTTGCGCGCGTCCAGTCGTCCAGTCTGTCCAGAGAAGCTGCTGCGCGTCCAGAAGCTGCTAGGGTTGCCGGCTGCGTCTCACCCTCACGGTCTCAGTGCAGTGGGTAAGGCCGAAAATTAGTTTTGAATTGGGCTGGGCCTGGGCAGAATTAAATTTAAATCTGTCTTTGTACTTTGAATGGGTACAACGGGTACCCATATTACCCAAACGGGTATTAGCGGGTAACCCGCGGGTACCCATATTAGGACTGTACAATTCCAAGTCCCATCCGTTTAAAATATTACGGGTAATATGGGTACCCGTAACCCTTAAAAAACGGGACGGGTACGGGTATACACAAATACCCGTTTCCCGTTGCCCACCCCTAAGAGCTCCCATAGAAGCCGAATGGGTTGGGGTTGCTTAGGGTTTTAAATTACCTGGGGTTATTTTGGGCATTTTTCAATTACGGGTGAGTTTAATCCGAAACTCAATTAGCATCTGTAACTTCCTCGTTTTATGTCAAAACTCGACCCCGTTTGAACATAGAGTTCATATTTTCAGTCCTCCTCGATATTGTGGTGGAACTTAACAAATTGAACTAAGGGTATAATAATCATTTTGACTCTTGGGAAGAGCGGGGTGTAACATTTCCTCCACCCTTATAAAAATTTCGTCCCCGAAATTTGCTCAGAACTCATCAGTTTATCAACACCCTTCTTACACTTCCTTCCCGCGATTATTTATTCTTACCATAAAAACTTCATTGGTAACCTTTGATCATTTGTATTCCCTTAGCTAGAGCACTCGTGTAACCTTGAGTGACTCACTGCCCTTTTTATTTCACAACTTGACTCAACAGTGATGAAAACACCGATTTGGTTTTCTACGTTTATCCAATTCACCTGGTAGTTGTTGTTAAACCTATATCCAAAATCGAGATATTACATTCCTCCTCTCCTTAGGAAAAACTTTGACCTCGAAATTTGTTCATCGTGGTAGCTTAATGTCCTACTTGAGGTAACCCTTCTACTATAGGGATGTATACTTCCGTTACTTTGTACGACCTTGAGCTATGAATCTTTACCTCCAATTCGTTGTGGTTCTTGGCCGATTGATGACTCACCCATTTCCCATAACTCCTAGCTATGATTGAACACGCAGGTCCCCTAAGTCTTTGTACCTCCTAGCTCTGTACCTCTTAATTTCGTTCCCCAATACTGTCTTAGCCTTTAATCTTTTACTGCATAATCATCTTCTTGTTACCTATGGCTTAGCGCTAAAACCCACATACCACTGCGTTTACTCTCTATAAGCATTAAAGGCATCCCTTGCGTCTTTCTCTAACTTGCGATCAACTTTATGACTTCTTTCCCTAAACTCATATCCATCTTACTTCCTTACTCGTGACTCTTGTTCCTGATGTTCCTCGTTAGTTCTAGATGATGTCCCTTATTCTCGATGTAGTCATCTAGGTTCCCATATTCTCTTCTTACTAATGTACCTTGAGTCCTTGACTTATAAAGTTCTCCCTTTGACTATTCTTAACGACCACGATTCCACCTTACAATTGGCCAAAATTTCTTGATGGACTTCCTATGGATTGATTGTTCGCTACTGGTAATCAACCTAATGCTATCTTGTTGTTTGTTATATTCCTGCTTTGGTCTGTCCTAGCTATCTTCCTTGACGCATACATCGCCCGGTCGACGACCACCATTTAGTTTCTGTAACGTCCTATGGTGTTCTCCTTCTATTGTTGCTTTGTACTATATTTGGTCTCCAAACTCCGTTGAGTATCTTCTCGTTATTGTTTGGGTCAAAGCTTCCAATAGAGGATTTCCCTGGGTAGGCTTTAACATACCTCATTCATGTCATTTGTCTCGATTGATGCCTGCATATGGCCTTAATCTCATAGTCTGGGTTCTTAGTGGCTTAACTGAACGTATCTTACTTATCCTTAACTAGCTGCTTCCTTTGGATGACATCCTACTATGCCGCTCCCACTCAGAGTGGGGCACCTTGGGTAAGGTAACTTAATGATTTCCTCCTTATTGGTAATGCTTTTCCTCGTCGTACTCCACTACGCATTTTCTTAAACACGAGTCACCTACACATATTCTCAATCCTCTAATATCCTCTTTCTAGCTCTGTGTTGACTTAGTATTCAACTCACACATTGTTGGGAAGTGGTTCTTTATCGTCATATGAAAATGACCATGCCTCCTCTCCTCCTTGACTTGTTGACTTCTTGACATCCTTTCATACTCCCTGTAACCTACTTATTTCCTCCTTTGCTTCATTTATACTACCCTAGCTTTTCTTGAAGTCTAAGCTTCCCACTGCTCCTTGTCACGGTGTTGTAATAGCGTTGACCACTAAAACTAGTTGAGGGACTTCTCGTGGTACCTCTTCGTTTCTTAACTCGCCACTATTTAGGGTCAAGGACCCTAAAATTCTCTCATCATTATAGCTACTGGCATCTGGCGACTGTACCTTTTCCTTTGGAGATTCATATTTCTCCCCTTTGTTTGTCTTAGCTTATTCACCTTCATATGATTAGAGTAGACGGGAGATTCTATAAAATCTTAAAAGACGATCCTTGACTCATTTTCAATTCTTTTAAAAACAAAAACATTTAAAACTGAGACCGATATTCCAGTATTCCTTGGAGACCAAGGAACAGAAGAAGACCGGTTCTGATACCAAAATGTAACACCCTAACCCGGCCGGGTACTACTTTTACTAAAATTCCCTTGAAAAATAAAATAACCAAATTTAAAATTCAGCGGGAAAAATTTCATAATGAAATACCGAAAACACACTCTTTTAGTTCAAAGCAAAGCCCTAACAAGGGGCAAACTCAATACTAAAAGTCTCAAAATGATCTCCAGTCTGTACTCATAATCATAAATGTAAATAACTAATAATCTCTAAAGTTGTTGCTACTGAAAACCTTGACTAAGCATCCTCCGTGACGCTTATACTGCTCTCCTCTAGCTGGCTGCCCTCGAACTCGCTGCTCAGTAACTGCTCCTCTAGCTCCCCAAAATGGTGAGAGAGATGGGGTCAGTCTACGCCCCTACGCTTAACATCTTATTAATACTTGATCACTTTACTTAACTTAGTGGAAGTTGTTTTGTACTTCCACTGTTATAAAAATCTTAGCTCTTAAAACTCTATGGGAGTTACTGTTACTCTCCATTCTTAAAACTCAAATCCCGACTTAAATACTTCACTGACACGGGGATCCCTCACTAACTAGTCTGGTTGCCAACTCATACGTATGAGAAGCCATCAAGGCTTTCCTTAAACTTAAACTTAGTTAGGGGAGTCGTAACGATTCATCCCCCTAACTGCTGCTCATCTTAAATATCTCAAGAGCATAACTGCTGCTCTGTCTCAAAGATCTCAAGAACATAACTGTTGCTCTATCTGAAAATCTCAAATGGCAACGGACTGGCGCTAGCGACTAAAAACACTTAAAACGACTTCACCTTCTTGAAGGTGAGTTACTTCTTAAAAAGAACTTGTTTCTTAAACTTTAACAATAACTCATAACATAACGCTTTAAGGTGAATAGCACAAAATCACCCCAAATCATAGCTCAAGCAAAGCACAAATAATCAATCATAAACATAATCAAGCAATGGTAACCAATTCGCTAAAATACTTAAAATCATAATACTTAAAAAAATACGTAAGGCGTAGAATTTACCCCCTTTACACTCACCTTACGATCAAGTGGATTGATTCGAACAAACCATCATTCAAATGTTGATCGTCTTAGAATTCCCACCAAGAGCTTTGTAAGTGATCATCCCTCTCACGTCTTCCTCAAATCCCCACTGTATAATTCCATCCGTCCCATCAATCCACACGTCCAAATTTCCAATATATAATTCCAAACCCTAGCCATGCAATATCACTTCCTCGTGGTCTCTAGTTCCCTCATGTTGTTGCGATGCCTCATCGAGGTCAAAAACCTGGAGGCACGTGAAGGATTGTTCGGAAGCTAATTGCTCATCTTCCCCAACAGTTAACAAGAAGTTTCGTTGCTGGAGCCGCTGTAGGAAAAGTACGGAGGAAGAGTGAGATTGTAATCTTGAATTGAAGTTGAGGCCGCGATCGAGGAAACTGACGATGTCGTCGTTGAAGTCGATCGCCACTTTGTCTATACCGCTGGAAGAGCACTCAATCTTACCGGAGATTTCACCTGGAATCGACATGGGAACTTCTTCGGGGGATTTCTTTATTTGTGCAAGGGAAAGGAGGTCTTCCCGGCGATGCGGCTTGGCCACGAGCGGCTGTGGAAAGCTAGTTGCTCTCATTTATTTCCTTGCCGAAAGGGTTTCAATCGCGTAAGGAATAAAAATTGAGGGTTTTATTGGTTTTGTTTGATGAGACCGAGTGGGGTAAAGGTCTTGAGGGTTTTAATTACTCCAAGGGTATTTTTGGAATTTCACAATTACGGGTGACTTTAATTCGAAATTCAATTAACATCCGTAACTTCCTCGTTTTATGTTGAAACTCGACCCCGTTTGAACATAGAGTTCACATTTTCAGTCCTCCTCGATATTGTGGTGGAACTTGACAAATTGAACTAAGGGTATAATAATCATTTTGAATCTTGGGAAGAGCGGGGTATAACAGTGTCGGCGTCCTTGAATAGCGAGAGCCAGTAGAAGCCCGACTGGAGTACCTTCCTTGCTATGCGATTACCGCTATGGTGCCTGCCAGTAGGTCCCTCATGGAAATGATACAGAATGCCCTCCATCTCATTTTCCATGACACAACGAGGGATGATCCCGTCGGCTCCAATCCTGAAGAGATGCCGGTCATCCCAGAAGAAGTGCTTCAAGTCAGAGAAAACTTCCTCTTTGCGTGAGTCGTCATCCCCTTGGGCAGCCACTGTCCCACCAGACAGTTTGCGAAATCAGAGATCCAAGGGGTGACACTCTCCACCAGGCACATCATCATCAGTCGGTCATCTGGAAAGGAGTCGTTGATCTTCTCCTCGAGGTTGTCCGCAGGAGGTGAGTCCAACCGGGAGAGATGATCAACAACAACATTTTCAGCTCCCTTCTTGTCCCGGATCTCAATGTCGAACTCCTGCAGTAGTAAGATCCATCGTATGAGTCTAGGCTTAGCATCGTCTTTGCTCATCAGGTATCGTATAGCGGAGTGATCCATGTACACGATCACATGGGACAAAACCAGATAAGGACGAAACTTGTCAAAGGCGAACACCATCGCTAGCAGCTCCTTCTCTGTGGTGGTGTAGTTCTCATGGGCATCATTGAGGATCTTCGAGGCATAGTAGATAGGACGTAATGCTGATCTCGAACGGTAAGGTCTAGTTAGGAGTGACCATGATAGGAGCATGAGTGAGCTTCTCCTTCAAGGTTGTAAATGCTGATGTGCGCGCGTTAGTGAACTGGAAGGGGGCATCCTTCTCAAGGAGCTTCGTCAATGGCAAGGCGATCTTCGAGAAGTCTTTTATGAACCGCCTATAGAACCCTGCATGGCCCAAGAACTCGTGCCCCGCCAACCTCTCCAGCATCTAGTCAATGAATGGCAACGGGAAGTGATCCTCCTGGGTGGCGTCGTTGAGGCGACGATAGTCGATGCAGATGCGGTACCCGGTCACCGTGCGCATCAGGATGAGCTCATTCTTCTCGTTGGGAACCACGGTCATCCCACTCATCTTAAGCACCACCTGAGTGGGACTGACCCACTCACTGTCAGAAATGGCAAAGATGATTCCCGCGTCCATCAGCTTAACAATCTCTACTCGAACCACAGCCTCTAGGTTCAGTGTCAATCTCCGTTGGGGTTGTCTCACCGGCCGAATCTCATCCTCTAGCAATATCTGTTGGGAACATAAGGAAGGGCTGATCCCCCGGATGTCGGTGATCTTCCATGCCAAAGCGCGCTCGTACTTCCACCAATCTGGTCTTCTGCTCGGGTGTGAGGGTCGAGCTGATGATGACTGGAAGCTTATTCCCCTCCCGAAGAAATGCATACTCCAGGTGAGGAGGGAGGGGCTTCAGCTCCAGCTCTACTGGCTCCTCCAGGGAGGTGGTGATGCGAGTCGAGGATGAGATCGGCTTGAACAGTTAATCGGCCTCCAGGAACTCGCCACTCTCTAGCGCGGCCAATTGCTCCTCCAGCTGCAGCTCTGTGGATGCTTGCTCACCTAGCAAAATACAACACTCAAAGGCATTGTCAGTACCCGCACTCGTGATGGCGAGTGCGATTTCAAAATCATCAAGCATGTCACAGTAATCCAAGTCATCATGCAAATGGGAATGCTTCGCATTGTCGGACACAGAAAATGTAGCTTGTTCATCCCCAGCCCGCAAGATTAACTTGCCTCTATGCACATCAATTAGCGCCTTGCAGGTGGCGAGAAATGGTCTACCCAAAATCAAAGGCACATCCACATCCTCGTTTATATCCAGGATAACAAAATCAAGAGGATATGTGAATCCACCCACGTTAACAAGCAAGTCCTCTATGATACCCCTAGGATGCAGAATCGAGCGATCGGCTAACTAAATACTCATCCTAGTGGTTCTAGGTTCACCTAGGCCTAGCTTCTTAAACAATTTATAAGGTATGACATTAATGCTAGCGCCTAGGTCCGCCAAGGACTTTCCTACATACATGCTGCCAATAACAAGAGGGATAGTAAAACTCCCTGGGTCTTTCTGCTTCGCGGGCAGCTTGTTCTGCAGGATTGCAGAACACTCATAGCTCAGCATCACTACCAAGAGATCCCCAAGTTTCTTTTTATTGGTGAGGAGATCCTTCATGAATTTCGCGTACTAGGGCATCTTCTATAGTGCCTCCACGAAAGGCATGATGATATTGACATGCTTTAACATTGCCATTAATTTGGCAAACTCAGTCTCCAGCTTGTCTTTATGCATACGAGTGGGGAAACGAAGGCGGGGAACACGCTCCTTAACCACTGGTTGTGGCTTGTGAGCAGGTGCTTCTTTCTCGATCCCCACCTCTTCATTAGCAGCTGGAAGTGCTGAAGTAGGTGTTGATTCCTCCAGCCTGGCCGGAGCAGACATAGCACATGTCGTCTTGCCACTTCTAGTAGTGATGGCATCAAACTGGTGGTGAGGCTCACGAGGATTAGGGATGGTGTTGGCAGGCAGAGTTCCCGGTGCCCTAGCGCTGTTTTGGCGAGCTATTCCTCTAATCTGATTTTGGAGATCCTGCAGTATGGACCCTGGTTCCTCTGGCCTGCCTCTAGTAGATGATGCACTGGTCCAACCTGGAGAAATTCGCCATGTTGGAGCTCCCGAAGACCTGCACCATGTTTTTCAGCTCCGACATCTGGGCATCTTATGCTGGGGCTGCTATCGGCTGGGCAAACTGTCGCTACTGCTGGAATGGTTGCCCCTGTCTAGGCTGATAAGGCTGCTGCTGTGGGAATGGGCCATGTTTGGTCAGGAAAGGCTGCCTTTGCTGAAAACCACCAGCTGGTGCTGGGAATCCAAGAGCCTTGATGGTGTTGCTGGTGTTGCCATTCCAAGAGAAGTTGAGAATCCGATCATTGGCGATGAAGTCCAACTGCTCCTAGGGGTTGGTGGATTCCCTCATAGCCTGGCAATCTTCCACCAAATGGTTTAAACTTTCACACCACTAACACTGTGCGATTGGAGTTGCGGCTATGCCTCTCCCTAGAATGAGGTTGTTCGGCTGCTTCAATGTCTGAACCGGCTCTGCCACCTCTCTCCCAAGCCCATATCTGGCCTACATGGCATGCACACCAGGGTCACAGAAGTTCTTACCTCTGGTGTTCTGACCCCAAGAATGGTCTCTGGGGGCCAAAGTACTAATCATCTGATTTAGCTCGGGTGGAGTCCTAGTATATGGGGCATATCTGCATCTTGACTAATGTCTAGGATAATGACGATAGTCGGATAATAGAACGTTCCCACCCGCACTAGAACGTCCTCCACAATGCCTCTAGGACTAATCACAGAATGATCAACCAATGTAACACTCAGCCTAGTGGGTTTTAGTTCACCTAGGTTTAACTTCTTGTGAAGATTATATGACATGACATTGATGCTTACTCCTAAATCTGCCAAGGAATTTTCTATATGGCATGTTCCGATGCAAAGGGGGATAGTGAAGCTACCTGGATCTAATTGCTTTTTAGACAACTTTTTCTGTATGAAGGCTGGGCACTCCTCGCCCAAGGTGACAGTGGCGAGGTCTTCAAACTTTTGATTCTTGGCAAGAAGCCCCTTGAGATACTAGGCATACCTTGGCATGCACGCCATTGCCTCAAAGAAAGGAATTTTGATATGAAGCTTTTTGAGCATCTCCATGAATGTGTCGCATTCCGCCTCCAAATGGTCTTTGTGCACCCTTGTAGGGAAAGGGAGAGGAGGCTTGTACTCAGCCACTTGTGGTGGTGTAAGCGATGCCTTCTTATCCTCACCTTCTCCTTCCGAGGGTTCTTATTCATTCACCTTTGGAGGGGCTTCCTTCTCTTCAACTATCTCCTTAGTAACAACATTCAGAGTTACCTTCCCGCTTCTCAAGAGAATAGCATTCAACTCCGCATTTTTATCTTTGAGGTTGGCAATAGCTTAGAAAGGTAGGGCTCCTCGTGGTCTCTCGGTGAGGATCTCGACAAGACAATTTGGGTCTCCAAGTTTTGAAAACTTTCTTGATGACTTCTTAGACCCGCCTCAACCGAAGTAAAATTGTTTGTAGCTACCTCCATAAATTGCTCAAACTTCTCAAACTTATGAGAACTTGTACTCACAAAGGTGGTGACTAAGTCTTCTAGTTTTGCAAACTTGTCGGGTTGTTGTTGGAACCCTTGACCACATTGCAATTAAAATTGTTGTTGTTGGAAGTTTGAGCCTTGGAATTGTGGCATTTGTTGGATGAAAGGGGACCTTGGTTGATAGTTCTCTGTTGGTGCTTGGAAACCGGGTGGTCTTGGATTGCTCGAGGAACACCATGCAAAGTTCGAATGGTTTCACCAACCTGAATTGTAAGTGTTTCCATATGGGTTGTTGTTATTGGTCCCCCTAGCATTGGTAATGAAGCATAATTGCTCATTCAGAGTGCTTGCTTTCTTCATCAATTGACACTCCGGAATCTCATGGTTGGTAATTAAACACCAATCACACACAATCCCCGGCTTCTTGCCTTGCTTGTTGTCTTCTAGAAACACCGTTATCAACTGGTCAATCTTTGCGGTGAGCAGAGGTATCACCTCCGTGGAGTGTCCTCCTCTCTTGGCTTCCCTTCTACCATGTCTCGTCAAGCCCCATTCATACCCATTTGTCGCTTTATCCTCAAGCAAAGTGGTCATCTCGGGTGGAGTCTTGTTCATCAGGTTCCCTTCACGCAAAGACTCAATGAGAATCGTATCCTCTCTTGAAGACCTTCATAGAAAGTTTCGATCTAAAACTGCTCTCCAAACCCGTGATGTGGAGTTGGAGAAAAAATTCGGAGTACCTCTCCCATGCATCCCTCAAAGTCTTATCCTCCTATTTCCTTCATCTTGGAAGGTGGACAATATCGGGCCATGAACTTGTTGAGCAAGTTTTCCCATGAGGTAATCGAGAGGGGTGGCCTATTGTTGAGACACCAGAGTTCTTTCCCCACAAGAGAGTAGGGGAAAAGCCTCAACTTTAGAGCCTCTTTGGATACCCCCTTGATCTTCAAACTTCCCGCTATCTCAAGGAATCTCTGGACATGCTCCCTTGGAGACTCATCCTTAAGCCCATGGAACTGAATGTTGTTCTGGATCATTGTGATGAGGCCAGGATTGATCTCGAAATGGTTGGCGGTCATAGGTGGACCGTGGATGCAAAATGATTTGTTGAATATCCTCCGCCCATAGAGCCAGATAGTAGCCCATGATCCTCGATTCTTCATTCACCTCTTGGGCATGTTGGTTATCCGCCATCTCAACTTCAACTTCTTCTTCCGATTGAACTTCCTCCTCAACTTTAACTTCTCTTCAACTTCAACTTTGGGTTCTACTTGTGGTTGTCCCTGATCAACTATCCTTCCTCTTGCTTCCGCCAAGTTCCTCTCCCGAGCCAATAGTCGGAGAGTTTGGTTGAGGTTCTCGTCTACTTACGCCAAAGGTGTCGGATTACTCTAGGTCATACAACCTCCTGCACACACTTCAAATAAACACAACTCAAGCCAACACAAGCAAGATTCACAATCAACAATGCAAAAAGTAAAATGTAAATTAACACCAAATGATTTTTTCAAAAAAATTGACCGAACTTGAAATACTCTATTTGATTGCTGAAAACTTGAATGAAAAATACAGTAGTTTGGCGTCCTTATATAGGCAACGAATTTACTCCCAAAACTACTAAGGATAAACAAATCCTACTTGAAAAAGGAAAACAAAAACCTTAACAAACAAGTAAACAAAGTCCTACAAAGAAAAGAAAATAAATTTGACTTTTTCAATAATTCTAGCCTTAAAATCCTCCCTCACATGGCTTGGTTCACACCTGATATTCCTTTCACACTTATATTCCTTTCACACCTTCTGTTCACACCTTATTATCACACAATGGGGGAATACCTTCCTTCTGGGTCGAATTCTTCACTCCTTCCTCCAAGCCCATCTTCTCTTGATTCTGGTCCACAAATTTGAGTAATGTGATGGGCTTTCCTCGATGAAATTCCATATCCATCAAGAACAATCACATTTGATCCTTGTATTGTTGTATTTTGGCCTTCATCTTAGATCTACGAGAATTATATGTTCTGTCAATCGATTTCACATCAACAAACTCGTAAGCCTTGCTCGTAGAGCCTTTTTCACCCATCTTGAATGCTCCCGAGATCTCTTTGAACCTCTTAATTCATCTCTTGGCACATGGTCCATGTGATGATCTAATTTGAGCTCGAGTAACATCATGTGGGGTGAGCGGGATCGCATCATCAATCGTTTGAAACATTATCTAGCAACCAATGTTTAGTTAAAACTATTGATTACAATTGAAAGAAAGTATAAAGGTAAATGTTTTTAACACAATTTGAGAAAGCTTCACCCGGGTGTTGCTCCCCCTAGTCATATATCAAGATTATTCAAAAAGAATTCAAGTATGTGGAGGAGTAGTTGTAAACCATAGGAGAGTGCAACTAGTGATGAAGCTTAACTCTCTCGGTCGATAGGCCAAGGGATATTAATCAAGCTAACGAATTAGCTCTCTTGGCCAATCGACTCATGGTTGCCAAGGCTTCTCCCTCAGATCTTAATCCAAATGGCTACATAATAGCCAACTCAAAGCGCTAAAAAGTATTATGAGGTTTGCCCTAATTCGGCCTAAGTAGGTGGCTCAATTTGGCCAAGGAATTCCAACTTATAAAAGCCTCTTAGTAAGAAGGGGATTTCCCTCTACCTATGTCAAAATGGCAAAATCATGAGAAATGGAGAACACAACTCAAACCTTCAGAAAATATCTCAATACTTGTATTAAAACACAAACCACACACAAAACATCAATTCATATAATCTATCAGATAGTTCTAGCTAGGGTTTGCAACACTCAAGTGAAAGAAGGGGA